AATATTCCTATTTTATTTAAGAGTGTATGCGCATCTTAACAGATATCAGTATTGGCAAATCATACCTTTATCAATCCTAAATTTGTTGGTGTAGCACATTTCCCTGTAAATATGTAAAACTATGAAACACGAACAATTGCAATAAAAGCAATTTATCCACACCCCACACCCTTCATGATTCATCATTACATGACAAACAATGTGAATTTCTATAAAGAAATAAGTGACCACAAGTAGCTAGGCCAGTAATTAAATTTATGCAGGAAACTCAATCAAACGTCTCTTATAGGTTACTTCCTTGTGAAGAGACTGAACACATTGGTGGTATGTCTACGAAATAGGGATTTTGCTTTAAATAATAATGATAATAATGAGACAGCCACTAGAGGATTTGGAGGATGGATTAACCCATTTACAAACATAGCAGTTTCATAATGATAAAAAGTGATCTGACAGCAGTGCTGTCACAAACTTGAGTCACGGACAAGTCATGCCTATGTGTCAATACTAATGTAAGAACATGTCAGCTAGCCCCACTCTGAAAAGAATTAAAATAAAATAAACACAGTAAAGTAAAGAGCCATACGTGTTTACAGAACAGACTTCCTCAGAGGAATATTTTCTGTATTCGGCAGTTAATGCGCCATGAATTCCTCAACAGTCCATGAGTGATGCTGACACTGCATCCACTATACAAACATACGCACACTCACTGCATCCACTACACCAAGGATGTCAAACTCGTGGCTCGAGGGCCGCATGCGGCCCACAAGGACCGTCTTTGTGGCCCGCCGAGCCGCGAGTACATGCTGGTATTATAGCAGAGTTGGCACCTGCTTTCTCCATATTGCAGGTGCCTACTCTGCTAACACTTACCCTGCCAGCGAGGGAGCTTAGTGTTGCTGCTCCTCACTGCTCCCTCGCGCGCCGTCTGAAGTGAATGACGTCATATTCAGGCACCCGGCATCACTAAACCGCGCGAGGGAGCAGTGAGGAGCAGGAAGGACCCCAGGGAGATACCCACATCGGTAAGGAGCAATAAAGAAAATAATGTGTGTGCAAGAATGTGTAAGTGTGTGTCTCTGTTAGTGAGTATGTGTGTGTGTCTGTCAGTGAGTATGTGTCTGTCAGTGGCGTATTTACCGGAGTTGCGGCTGCGACCCGGCCCGGCCGCTGTGGGACCCGGTATGCACGCCAGTGTGGCCAGCCTCTTCTTCTGGGGGGCCCAGGAGCTGGCCACCTCAGGGTGGCTGGTCCTGCGGGCGCGCGAGGGAGCACTCTCCCACGAGCGCTCTCTGCCCAGCTCCCTCGCGCACCGCGTGCTGATGCCGGAGCTGGAATATGACGTCATATTCCAGCTCCGGCATCAGCACGCGGCGCGCGAGGGAGCTGGGCAGAGAGCACTCATGGAAGAGTGCTCCCTCGCGTGCCCCCGAGCCAGACAGCCAGCCCAGTGACCGGCTGCCCAGCAGCACCACTGGACCCCAGGGAATCCCCTCAGCTCTCCCAAAGGTAAGGAGGCTGGGGGATTACATTTAAATCTGCATGCACTGGCGTACATACTGCGGTCGCAGGGGTCACAGCCCTGTGACCAGGTGCCCACCGCCATGGGTTGCGGCCCTGGAGGGGGGCCCATGGGTCATGTGTACACCACTGTGTGTGTGTGTGTGTCTGTATGTATGTATGTGTTTGTCAATGAGTGTGTGTGTGTATGTGTGTGTGTCTCTGTCTGTGAGTATGTGTGTGTGTTTCAGTGAGTATGTGTGTGTCTGTGAGTATGTGTGTGTCTGTGTGTGTGTGTCTGTCTGTCAGGGTGTGTGTCTGTCTGTGAGTATGTGAGTGCGTGTGTGTGTCTGTCAGTGAATATATGTGTGTGTCAGCGTCAGGATCAGATTTGTCACAGGGTGGTAGAGGGGGGTGCTGTGGTTTAGTAGAGGGGGGCTATGGTTTAGTAGAGGGGGATGCTGCGGGGGGGGGGAGGGATTATACTGTAGTTTTAAAAATAAACCTACAATTCTATGAAAATTTACGGTATTATTTTTTGCGGCCCACATAAACGTAAACCTTGTTTATGTGGCCTGATCCAGACTTTGTGTTTGACATACTTGCACTACACAAACACACACACTGCTTCCACTACACACACTGCATCCAGTACAGAAATACAGACACTGCATCCACTATGCATAAACACAGACACAATGTATTTACTACACACACTGCATCCACTACACAAACACATACTGCAGACACTGCATCCACTACACAGACACACACATTGGATTCACTACACAAACATACACACTGTTTCTACTACACACATTGCATAAATGAATGGATGTGGGCGTGTTTGGTGAGTGTGGTTGAAGGTTGTAACATTTCATCCATGGACCCTGCCAGAACCAAATTAAACCTGTACAAGGAGGGGGTACTGTTGTACTTGTGAGAGATTGGTGAACACAAATATGTGTATTGTATTGGAGTAAATGCTTACAGTATTATGACATTCACAGTTAAAATGCCATGCACAACTAAGAAAATACCAAAGTTTCTTAAATTCTCATACTTTTTTAGTTTTTATCCACATAAAATTGTTTCTTATATAAAGAATGTGAAATGAAAGCCCTGTTTCTTCAGAACATAATTATATATAATAGGTGTGATTGCACTTAATATGAAAGGTGAATTACGATTGAACAGACATATAGTCAAAGTCTAGGGTTTATTTTGATCAGAACATAGTACATGTACAATTGCCCCTGCCCTTAAAGGACCACTTTAGGTGCCAGGTCCATTGACAGCCACTAGAGGCGCTTGCGTGCTTCTCACTGTGATTTTCACAGTGAGAGCACGCCAGCGTCCATAGGAAAGCATTGTAAATGCTTTCCTATGCGACCGGCTGAATGCGCGCGCAGCTCTTGCCGCGCGTGCGCATTCAGCATTCAGCCGACGAGGATCGGAGGAGGAGAGCTCCCGCCCAGCGCTGGAAAAAGGTAAGTTTAACCCCCTTTCCCCTTTCCAGAGCCGGGCAGGAGGGGGTCCCTGAGGGTGGGGGCACTATAGTGCCAGGAAAACGGGTATGTTTTCCTGGCACTATAGTGGTCCTTTAAGAGGTTCATTTTAAGCATTTTAACCCTTTCAAGACTGAGCCAATTGTACACGTTCCGATCAAAACAAAATGTAAACAAAAGTGGAATTTGCGCTATATGTCTGTGTTCAACCGTAATTCACCTCTTTCATATTAAGTGCACCCACACTTATTATATATCATTTTATTCAGGAGAAACAGGGCTTTCATTTCCCATGAACTATTCATACATGAAACATAATTTATTATGAATAAAAAAAAAAAAACTGTGAGAAATTAAGATTTCCGCCTGACATTTTAACAATAAAATGCACATATCTGTATTCAGCAAAGTTTCACAGTATCTCCCTGTAACAGGTTTTACGGTGTTTTGGAAAGTTACAGGTTTAAATATAGCACATTCCATTTTTTTCACATTGAAATTTGCCAGATTAATAATATTACCTTTGAGACCTTATGATAGCCCAGGAATGAGAATTACCCCCATGATGGCATACCATTTGCAAAAGTAGACAATCCAAGGTATTGCTAGTGGGATATGTCCAGTCCTTTTGAGTAGCCACTTAGTCCCCCCTCCCGTGCCACCCGTTAAAACCCCTTAAGCAGCTTAACTTTATCCAGCGCCGGGCTCCCTCGGCGCTGGTTACCTCTCCTCCCCGTCCGACGTCAGCTCCCTAGTGGAGCGGAATGCGCATGCGCGGCAAGTGCCACGCGCGCATTCAAAGAGTCCATAGGACGCTCTGTGCGATGGATGCGAAATTCGCATCCAGCGTCGCAGATGTGCCTCCAGTGGCTGTCCGGAAGACAGCCACTAGAGGCTGGATTAACCCCAAATGTAAACATAGCAGGTTCTCTGAAACTGCTATGTTTGCATCTGAAGGGCTAAAACCTGAGGGACCTGGCACCCAGACCACTTCATTGAGCTGAAGTGGTCTGGGTGACTATAGTCTCCCTTTAATTATCATTTTCTTATACTTCCAACCAGCCATAGGGGGCCATGTGATTGCCCTGTGAGAGAAATTTTCCGTGGGAGGGCTGTCTGAGCTGTTAGGCAGTTCTCCCGAAGAGGATCGCAGCAGAGCTAAGTCCACTGGCGTTCTTGGGCGCTTAGCCATTACGACATTCTATGCCGCCGCAATGGCTTTAAAGCCCATTAGGATGGGGACGGCATAGAACGCTGTAACGGTGTGAAGGTTTTTTTGTTTTTTTTAAATGGTTGAATAACATGTAGAAGAATAATATACATATATTTCTAAAGCATCTCAGGGTAAAGGTGTCATCGCTGTCCCATGATGCTCTGGACAAGATCGAACACCCGCTTACACAGTACAAGTGCCTACACATGATTATCCTTGGTGTCCCTGGATGGACTGTCCTATTAAAGCACACGTCACACATGCCATCAATAAGAACTAGAAAAATTAATGTGAGAATTCCAAGTGAATTTCAAATTTAAGGTCAAAATAGCCTAACCCTCCAAATTCTCTAATTCAGCAACGATTCCAATTTAGCTACTTTGGCTTTAAATTTGAAATTCACTTTGAATTCTGACTTTAGTGAAAAAAAAAAAAAAAAAGCAACTCCTTTTAGAGTTTGTCCACTAAACAGCACATTGAAACGCGATTGTCAGGATTGGGGTTACAATAGCAAGCTGTGACTGTAGCTGAGCTGCGCACTATTATTACCCCAGGTCAGCTAGTATAACCTTATTGTATACAGCTCTCATTCGGTTATGTTTGGAGAATAAATCACTTAGTGAGAATTTCCAATAAAGGCCAGAGTAGCCGAACTGAATGCAGAGCTGATTTGGAGAATGTTTCCAGTTCGACTACTTTGGCCTTGAATGTGACACTTGCAATGAGTTACATGCCAACCTTAACCACGTGTCACAAGGTACACGGAAACGTCACTTCCGGTGCGACGTACCCCCTAGCTGTCCCTTTCAGTATGAATAAAGTTTTGCTTGTTCTGTGCTCCTTCCTTGTGCACCGTGCCTGCTACACGTGTTTCTGGTAACATGGCCGAGTCCGGGGCAGTCGGCTTGGACAGTGCTCAGGTGAGCCGCTCTTACCGCTTATAAGGCCGGGGTAGGGGGTGATAAAGGGGTACCCCCATTATTGGGGGCCAGGGGCTCTAATATGGGGTAGAAACAAACCCCATTCACTGTATGGACAGCCTCAGCATCCCCTGCCGCGTGTGTGCCCATACCCTCATTGACTGCCATTAGAATGGCCTGAGATTCTCTTTTTTCTCAGTAATAATATATCAAACCCAATTACTTCTCTGATATCTTCACTACAATAGGTGTTTTTTTTTTTTTTTTTTCTCTTCTCCATTTCACTAGTTTGAAAACCTCTTGCCTGCATGGAGTTGTCAGTATGTTGAAAATTAAACAATTAGGTTATTATTTTTTTCATTTTTATTTTTAAAGAAAATTTAAAGCTGCTATTTACTTATGCTGTGACAGTTATTCGTTAATGCTGAATAGTTGCAAAATTACATTCTAGTGGCAGAAATGTAGGCTAATGTATCTAGTTTCAGAGAGGAAAAAAATCAAACTACACTATAGTCACAGATTATAATTTGCCTCATTCAGTGTTTAATAATCCTGTCTATTGTGAATTTCAAAGTAATTGCAAGTGGTTTTTGAAACCGCTACATTTTCCCTTTAACTGTTCTGGACTAAACTTTAAATTCGATGTGACTTTAAAAAAAAAAAAAAAAATGGTTCTTCTCATCTCCTCTGCACTGCTACTCTATGCTTGGCTTTATTGCTAATGTGAGTATATAGTGACTTTGTTTCAGAGCTTCATTTATACATATTTGGGAAACTGTACTCCTCCAAAATCGTTCAGATCCAAAAACCATGTTCATAGGCATACCATCCAACATTTTAAAAGGACACAAAGTGACACTTAAATTTAGGTCTTTAAGTTGGGGAGTAGCCGGGTGTGAGTCTTTCCTGAGACAGTTTGAGACATACTCATATAAATGTATGGAACTGAAATGTAATTTAGTAAAAGAACAATGTATCTTATTTGCACAGACTCATTTCTAAACAAATTAATTGCGGCAAAATAAGGGACTGTCCCTCCTAAAAAGGGACATAGGGTGGTTTGTGTGCAAAGGGTTAAGTGTAGATAGAGCGGTTTTGACCATTTTTGGACAGAATTCATTGAGCGAGAGCTGGACATGGGTGGAATTTTAGTTGGTAGGAACTAATGCAATTGTTATATCAGAAGAGAGGGATACACTTTGACACTTACCTAGGTCACCCAGATCCCTCAAACTGTTACCTGGGGGGCAACACATGCATACTCCTGGCAGCATATACTCTTTAACACACTGCCGTGGCTTTGGTGCTTAGCCTGATTCTTTAAGGTTATTCAGTGTCAATTTCCCTTGTAGATTAAAAAAGCCGTTCAGGCCCTTCTTGCGTACCAGAAAACTAAAAAGAGTGGAAATTCATTGCTTCTTAATGAATATGACCGCATCTCATTAATGATAACAGTATGGAGAATACCCAAGCGTGAGCAAACCATCAAAATGTGAGTATCTTTCCTTATTTTATTTTTTTTAATACTGCTTCATGTTTTCCTTTTGATTGCTAATGGGTTTAAAAAAAAAATAAAAAAAAAAAAAAATATTTAAGTGTTCAAGTATTCAATGAATCATAAATAAAGAGTGTTTTGCTAAAGCATTTTTCAATTTTTTTATTTGGTTTGCAAAATGAAAGTCCATAAACCTCACTTGTAGAATTTATACCCCATCATTGATTACCAGTTTGTAGAAGAATGAAGTCCTATGCTCCCCATTAGGAAAAGTTAAAAGTGCCAGTTTTTAGACTTTGGGGTTAAAACCATTTTTAAATGGTTTTACCCTTCAGAAACGATGGCGTCTGGGATCTCCAGCGCCCTAACTACGTCATTACTATGCAGTTGTTATAGTGCCCATTGTGTCCATTTAAGCACAATAACCCACTGCCACAGTAATAGCTATTTTGTACAAAGGTTCTGAGACCAAGCGTATAGTGCCACTGGCATAGCTGCAGCTTTTAATTGGCATTTTGTGGCAATATCCATGAATGTCTCTGAGAAGCATTAGGTTGAATGAAAGTAGTCACTGATGACTTCACCAAAGGTGATGCAACTGCTCTGTGGAGGCTTATCTAGCCTTAACTAAAGGTAAGGCGGGGAGGGGCGATGTGGACAATCTGAAAGCTAAATCGCTCAGGGTTATGAACCAATTGAAAATTCAAAGTCAATTTCAAACTTAAAGCCAGAGTAGCCAAACTGAAAGCATAGTTGACTTTTCCATTTCGACTTTAATTCTCAATTTAGTAAATAACAGTCTAAGGAGGTTGGAAATGTGTTTTGGTTTGAGTCTATTTTTCACCGGTTTGCTATCAAAATCCTCTTGATTATTTTTTTGTGTTTAAAAGTAAAATTTGTTCTATTTTTCACTTTATTGTGGATTTTGATGTTGTGTAAGTGGTTTTATTAAACGAAAACGTGCACATATCTCGTTGCAGTGGATTACCACATGGGATTCGACCTGAGGAAGTTGAGGTTTGTCTCTTTACTAGAGATGAACCAAGCATGTCTTCTGATCAGACAGAAAAATTTTACAAAAAGCTACTCAGTCAACATGGGATCAAACACATAACAGAGGTAAATAAAGAGGGTCATAGTCAAAAGTAGGATGTGTGGTTTATATAAAATTTTTCTTTTCACCATTTAAAGGGATACTATAATCACCAGAACAACTACAGCTTAATGTAGTGGTTCTGGTGTGTATAGTATGTCTCTGCAGGCCTTTTAATGTTAACTCTGGCTTTACAGAGAAAAGGCAGTGTACACCTTACTACCTAGTAATGCCTCTAATGGCTGCCACTCAGACGGCCACAAGAGGTACTTCCTGGGTAAGTGCTGCGATACGTTCAGCGTCTCCACGCTCTGCGTGGAAGCGCTGATGTTCCTCCTGGAGATGCATTGATTCAATGTATCTCTGAGGAGATGCTGATTGGCACAGTCCTGCATTTTGTTGCACATGTGCATTGGCCATGAGAAAGTATTGGATTGGCTGACATCGTCCATTTTGATGTTCTCATCCAAGGAGTTTCTTTTTTAACAGGGGGTCAGGAGACCTCATTATTGTTTGTATTCCTGACACTATAGTGCTCCTTTAATATCAACACAGATTATGACATCCACTGCTGTATTATAAAATGGAGAACTCACGTTTGTGATGGGTCTAATTTAAGAATACAAATTTGCTGTTATGGGGAATTTTTGCTTCTCAGGAAATTACAATATTGAGTAAATCATTGGTGGTGTGAAGGTAACTGTTCCTGACTATTTTTATCAGCTGATTGCAATTCCTTTAAAAAATACTGACCTTTTTTTCAGGTTATTCCCCTTCAAAAGCTTAAAAAGGAATACAAACCATTTGAGGCAAAGCGGCGTCTTCTGGGCAATTTTGACTTGTTCCTTTCAGATGATAGAATTCGCCGTTTTCTGCCTTCTCTCCTGGGGAAGCATTTCTACAAGGAAAAGCGGTACGTGAATGTGTAGTGTTGACATTCTCTTATATTAAAATGTTACTCAATCATAAATACTACATCCCTCTGTAATGGTTATGGTAGGAGTTTACCCTGGCACAGTTCCCCTATCTTACAACAGTTTGCCCACTTACCTGGGTCCCTGGTGGGCACTAGGAGAACACTGCATGTACAGGCACCATTACCACTTCAAATCACGTAAGTGGGCATGGTGCTTGGAGTGACTCTTTAAAGTGGGAATAATGGCACGAATTGTAAATTGTCTATTAAGCATGTTTCAATAACTGCTTGAGTAATGTTAAAACCTTCCGATTAGCTGTGCAGACGTGGGTGACACATGTTCCTGCCTGCCAGGCAGAACTTAGGGTACAATTGGCGGCTACATAGGTGCACGCCTGAATCGAGCGATACGAGACACCAGGTGCGGCCTACTGGAGTTGGAGCCGGGGAGAGGCGGCCGCTCTCTCCGACACTGGACCCTCCCCCCTCCCCCAAGCGACTTTGCTGGTCTCCTATCCCCCCCCTACCACCCCCTCTTTGGACCGGTGGAGGTTATCCTGGTCCTCATTGGATAAGCGGATCAAGACTGCTGATGGGCTCTCCGGCTACACCGCCTGCAGAGGTACCAGACTGCCAAGGCACATTCAAGATGGCCGCTCAGCAAGGGCCGAAGATAAAGAGCAGACACCCAACCACACACTCATCCCCTGGAAACTTTCGACCAGCTCGGCATGAGCCTCTGGAGAACGCTCTGTTACTGTGGAGTGTCCTACCGCCGAGCGGCTAGAGTGATAGCTTCATGGATATACTACCATACTACCGTGGCGCTAAACTCGCTCTCACCCACTGGCGCTGGACCACTAAGCAACCCCTATATACACGCAACTCACCTGATCAAAGAATCTCGGAACAGCGAGGCACAACTCTACACTCCAAGGTTATAGCTGATTACCACGTTGCTGTACAGGAGAAAGCCGGAGCTGGATCCGAGCCCAGGGGCCCCATTGGAGGGGCCTACAGCAACAGAACTCCAGACATTCCTGTACGTGGTATAGGCTGAAGTGCCCATCATTCTGCTCCACAGCTGACATGCCTTACTTCGAACCGTACAAGTTTTCGGCTGACGCTGTGTATTCCCAGTTTACTTGGAAGCCTTGTTCGTAAATATCCCAAGTGGTTACGGTTTTCTCTACTATTTAGCCTGAAATAACCGTAGACGTCATTATAGCTTATCACTCCGTTACCTTGAACTACTATAAAGTCCACGCTGATTTTGCTTCAGTGCATGATATTAATTACCCAGCATAGGCTAACGGCAAATAGGCAGATTATATGGCTACCTCTGCAACTAACTTTAGGCACCACAGCAGTTCCTTTTATTTTAATTTGATTGGTCCTTTTATTTTGATATGATCTTACCTTTGAGAACACGTGTTCCCATTGATCTTATACCTTGCTAGATAAAGAGGTAGCATAATCACTCTTATGTCTAGATATTACTGCGATGATATTCGACACTAAAAGCAAGGTTTTGATATATTTGCTTAGCATGTACATCTAGCCTGTAAACTGCATAGGTCACAGTATTAGCCGGTTACAATACTACTTTACGCTGAGACATACAGGCTTTTCATGTAACCATGTCTTCCCTCATTAATATAAAATGTACACTGTTCATCATGCCGCACAACTGTTATAAAACGTTCAATGATACGTATGCACCTGCTGTTGTGGCAGTGCATTCCTGCTAGTCTAATCTATGTACTAATAAAATAAAGAATAAAAAAACAAAAAACCTAACGATTAGGCAAATGCCAGAATATTTACTTTTTGTTTGGGGACTGCTCCCTCGCACACAGGAATAGCAGCCCCACAGGACCCCAGGGAAAGTCCACTCAGCTTTCCCAAAGGTAGGGAGGCTGGGTGAATTAGAAATAAAAATATAAATTTGTGAGTGTTCAAAAAAGTGTGTGTGTCTGTTTGTTTAGGTACCTTGGGGTTTAGGTACACATGATTGGTGTTTTTACTTTTTTTCCCCCATGCTGTGCTGCTTTCACTGTTGCTTGTCCTGCCTCCATAGCGGAGATTTTAATGATCTCCGCTAAGCCAATGCTTTCCCATAGGAAAGCATTGGGAGGATATTACGCATGTTCTCTATAGGTAACAGTTAGCGCCTCCATGCAGAGCACTGACACATAACTCTCTAGTGGCCGTCTGAGTGTCACTAGAGGTCTTAGTAGGAAGGAATGTAAACACTGCCTTTACCGCGTTTACAGTGAAAAGGCTACAGGGACATGCTTATAGGCACCAGAAAGATTACATTAATCTATAGTGTCCGTTTAAAAAAAAAAAAAAAAAGTCGCCTAACTTTTTTAGCAGCCCCCTAGATTCCAAACCAATTTATCAAGCCCTGCTGTAAATGGTGTACCATGACATGATTTTACATAGTGGTATCCTGATATGTTTTGTTATGCTACATATCTAAGCCATTGGTTTCAGTCGTTGCATTACGAATGAATCATTGTTTTGATTTATGATGGAAGTTTTACAAAAATTGAACTGTCCTAATAATGCAAACCAGCATATTGTACTTCCTTTAAATTTAAAAAATGTATATTCACAGGAAGCCTATATCCGTGGACCTGAAGGCAAAACTCCTAGGGGCAAAACTAAACCGTGTTATACAAGGAACACAACTTCAAATAACTAACAAAGGTTGCTGCTAGTAAGTGTTATTTAAGTTATAAACGTTTTTATATTTGCAATCTTGGGCTCAGTGAGTAAATCAATCTCCCCTTCTTTTCAGTTCGATTCGTGTTGGCCACATTGGGATGAACATTAATGAAATAGTGGAAAACGCTGTTGCTGTTGCAGGTGTTCTAGCAGAAAAACTACCATTGGTACGGTTTAGTATGATTTTTTTTTATATGTAACAAGTGTCCTGGTTTGTCATTGGAATACTGTAATGTAGCAATATCATATACAGTAACTTGTAAGACACTCAATGTTTGGAAATCATAAAATGTTTTCTTGGGGTGACATTTAGTTTTTTTTTCACTAACCACCAATCTGGAGTGAATTATTTAGCTTACATAGCGCTGTATATTTTGAGTTGGAGGATTATTTTACTTTTGCCATTCAAGTTTAATCGTTTTGAGGGGTACTTAACCAATTGATTTACATAACTGACTTGGAGTATTTTCTGGTTTAAATTTACAGGATTTAGTAAATAACAGAAATTTTTATTCACCGTAAATTTTTTTTCTTAATGTGGTGGCACTACGTATGGGTTGTTCTTCCTAATTGGGACAAGCATCTGTAAGATAGGTGATTAAGTCAAGTCCCTCCCCTCTACCCTATAAAGGGCTTCCCCCGACAAACCACCTTAGTCGTAGCAAGCCACACACTGTAATTTAAGGGAGGGAGATTTGTACTGCCACAATATTAAGAACTTTTTTTTTTTTTTTTTATAATTTTTTTTTTTTTACAGGTGAATAAAAATGTAGTTTTTTTTCTGACATATGGTGGCAGTATGTATGGGATATAGCAAGATACCCTATTGGGTGGGCCTTATGCCTAAATGGCTTTAAGTACCTACGCTGTAACACAATGTTAGAGGCAGAGAGTACATCTAGCCTGAAAATGCATGAAGGTGGTAAAAGCTGACCAAGAAGCAGCCATGCTGATTACTTTGTGTGAAGCAAGAGCTTTCTCTGCCCACGAAGTGGCCATTGCCTTTGTGGAATGCTCTGAGAAAGATGCTGGCGAATCAAAACTATTGAAGCATAGACCATTATGATTGATGAAAACAACGAGAAATAGAATTACGAAAGGCTTTATTTCCCTTAAACTTCCCTAGAAGTTCACAACAGGTGATCTGATCTTCTGAATTCAGCTGATATTGCTAGGTACATCTGAAATGCCCTTTTTAAACTCTAGAATATGCCATCTAGTTCCAGCGGGGAAGTGGCATCATTATAGAAGGATGAGCTGATTAACGGCTCTATAAGATAACTCTGGAAGACTTGAAGTTTTAGGATGAAACACAACTTTCACCCTGATGGAATATAAGAAATTCCACTGAATATATTTCCTGAAGCTCGCTTACTCTCTTGGCAGAGGTAATGGCCACTAAGAATGCTTGTTAAGCTTTAGCATATTAAAAGGAACCACCTCCAAAGTAAAAGGGGACCTGACAGACTGAAGAAATATCTCAGGAGGGAAATGCAGGATCACGCCTCCAAGCTTCTTGGTGTCCGAAACGCCTACCCATGTCTGGCCTAGTTTTACTTGTTTTGAGGCAGAGCTTTTTCGAAATAGGGAGAAGAGGTATCTTTTATAACCTAATAGGAGTAAACAGGGGACCGAAGAGGACGCTGATCTACCGTCCAAGCTTTAGCCACCAGCCCAAACAGACCTTTTTGATCTACCCTAAAACCCACAGAACAACACCACATCCACGCACACAGGTGAACCCACCTCAACGCGACGACACCAAGACACACAGACAGTGACTCAGACACACAAACCGTAACCACAAAGACGCAACAATAGAGGCAGACACACAGAGCTCCAGAATAAAGCAACACTACATAGACATAACCATGGAAACACGCAATAGAGGTGACACAGACTTACCGCAGAAGGTTTCACCATCACCAGCAGAGGGGAAGGACACGAAACATACAAAACAAATACAACCCCAATATGCACGAGCAGGTAGCCACAAGACACACTAGAACTCAGGGATACAGACAAAAGACCAGAACGCGTAAACACCAACTCATTTTCGCAAGATGGGCCTTCACTGCAGTTTACGGCAACAGGGATAAATACGCAAACACAGGCATCTCAGAAGAAAACAGTGTATTATTAACGAACCACACTAACACCATTTAATGAGCCGATAGCTGAACACATGATACTAACTGCCACCCCAAATAGCCACTACATACCAGACAACAACGCCCTAACAACGCAATACCAAGCAAGCTCACCACCTTTTGCATGTCTAGCCCTGCAAGGCTTATAAATGTCTAATATTTGTCATTGCATGTTTATATTGACTTATACGCCTCTGCGCAGGCAACTATGTGTTACTCTGAGTTAACTGGAATATGTCGGCCTCACATTATATACACTTTCAATGTGCACGCCTCTGCGTAGGCAACTATATGCATGAATGATACCAAGTTCAACACCCGTGTTTATATTGCTGACAATAAACATATTTAAAACAAGCTTTAGCCACCAGGATAAGAGGGAAACAGAAGATCAACCCATGATCTTGGCTGACATTGTCAAATTTTATCAATCAAATCCATATAAAGTATGTGACAATCACAAATAAAACCAGAAACGGACGAGCTGCTTATCAGGAGACTTAAATAACCTCCATTAATTGTAAACAAAGTTTATACGTTTTGGACACCACTGCACCTGCCAGCAAAGACCTATACCGAAAACCAGCAGTCAGGAAAGATCTGCAAGAGGTCTCTGCCTTCTTGACGACAGGGTTATTGAAGCAGCTACTGCTGCAGAATTTTATGGATTTCCAGTGTACCTGGGGGTATAACTTTACCCATTTGATGGTAACATATTAAACGCCATGCAAGAAGGGTTCGTTAGTGTTCCCATTTCTGCATATAAGAAAGATGTGGAGTTTGAGGAACAGATTAGTTTAGCAGATTTATCCTGCCCCATGACCGATTTTCATGCCTAATGAACTCTCAGTGCATCAGGTGGGAACCAACTCCACACAGTATGATGAACCAGACATGTCTTTAAGAAGAGGTAGATAAACATTCGTCAGACATTAGAAGTAATGTTGTGTCCATGATGTACGTTAAGGACCAGAGCTGTTTTAACACTTTTGTGTTTAGCTGAAATTTTCTACTTTCTAATTTACTGTTCCCATGCAAAATATGTATTGGGGGTTTTTTTTTTGGTTTTTTTTATCTAAAGGACTTTAGGGGTTTTCTTTCATGTTATATAATTTACTTTAAAAAAAATATAAATAAATAAATATGGTGAAAAATTTGGAAAGAAAACAAAACATGGTTTTTGGCTTCTACTTGAAAAATCCTTTACTTAACTACAAAAGCTAATGAAAAACAATGCTAAATAGATTCAAAATGTTGTCGTGAGTTTTAAAACACCCAGTTTTTACATGCGTTTTTTTTCCACATGACACAAATCCAAAATAGCAATGGGTGCTCTCCGGTCTTTAGAAATAAAAGTTTATTGAATCAGGTTTAAAATGACGACCAACGTTTCAGTCCCCGTTCGGGACTTTCTTCAGGGTCATATAATTATATTTATATATTTGAAGTCTACGTGTATATTTATGAAATTATTTATAATTTTGTGTGTGTGTGTGTGTATATGTGTGTGTGTGTGTGTGTGTGTATATATATATATATATATATATATATATATATATATATATATATATATATATATATATATAATCTCAAAATACAGTTAGAATAAAATGACTAACTTTTACATTGTTTTATTGTTTACTTATTTATATCTTATAATATATGCGTGCGTAATTTAATAAGTGTATTTTTATAGTGTGTGTGTGTGTGTGTGTGTGTGTATATATATTAATATAAAAATACACTTAGTATGTATGTGTTTTTTAATTAGTCCCCCTGCATGCAAATACACAGGCACCTATTGCGGCCATGTGACCGCTCTGTTAGAGTGATCACATGGCTGCATGGACCTAATTCGCCGAGGGGGGGCTGTCAGGCAGTTCCCCCAGACCGGGAGCGACTGCGATCGGGTGAGTAACAATTACCGCTATGACGGTTCAGGACCATCGGTCCTCAAGGGGATATTTCTGATGACTGTCTTGAAGGGGTTAATTTTACCAAAGAAATTGCGGCACCTTGGTCATATTTATAATACCCAGAACCATATTAAGGTGAGTAGCACAGATACAATAAGCAAAAGCCTTGTTCAAAGCAAAGCTAAGCTAATCTTACCTTGAAAACCTCTGAGCGGTGTGGAGGGTTGGTGACAAGGGGAACCCTTCTGACAAGGTTCCTCCTGCCAGAGGGAACAGCACTCGGCAGTTTCCCGGAAATAGCGCACCCGGAACCTACCACCTGAGCAGCTATTTGTCTTCCTCCCCCAGACAGCAACTGAGGTGGGGTTCCCGGGGGGGAAGCCCTTGATAGGGTAAAGGGGAGGGACTTTTCTTAATTACCAATCGTGCAGATGCTTGTCCCAATTAGGAAGAACAACCCATACGTACTGCCACCATATTAAGAAAAAGCCAATTTTGACTCTCCCTCTATTACAGTACTTATGACCCACTACTAAAGATTTGTGCACCAAGAATGAGTCTCTGGTTTTCCTCCTCCTCCTCTTTTTATTTTTTTTTTATTTATTTTTTTTGTTCTTTTCATCTTCAGAACTCATTGATGTATGTTATAGACCAGCTTAACTCCACTTTTAACAGCATTGTTAGGTATTTATTTATGAGACCAGAAACTGTTGTTACATGTTCTGCATTCCAAAGTCATTTAGCACGTTGTTGTTCAAATACCTGGTATTCAGTTTGATTATTACATCTGTTTTGATTTAATATTATTTTTGGTTTTAGAAATGGAAGAATGTTAAAATATTACATTTAAAAACGCAGTCCTCTGTGGCACTTCCAGTGTACACCTCTGCCTTCAGCAATCTGAAAGAACTTGAGCACTCTTCGGACAGTCGTAATGTAAGGATATAAATTTTCCCATCTATTATGTATTTTACATAGATTTTATGCACCAGATTAGGTTGATTTTATACATATTATACTCTAAAGGCCAAAATAACACCGCAAAAAAAATGAAGTGCAAACCAAACAAGTTAAGCTTGGTCCTTAAGAGGATAACATTCTGTTAAGTTCACAACAATTCCTTGTTTAGTGAATAAACCCCACAGTACTCTTATGGATACTGGGATCTGTTATGGAAAATGCTTACAGAGACACTAGTCTCCAAATTAACTTTAGCTTAATGAAGCAGTTTTGGTGTATATATTATGCCCCTTCAGTCTCACTGCTCTATTCTCTGCGTTTTAGGAGGTAAATCACTTTGTTTATGAACCCTAGTCACACCTCCCTGCATGTAACTTACACAGCCTTTCTAAACACTTCCTGTAAAGAGTCATCTAATGTTTATACTTCATTTATTGCAAATGCTGTTTTTATTTAGAATTTCTCATGCCCTGTTAATAGCTTGCTAGACCCTACAGGAGCCTCCTGCATGTTATTATAGTTAAACTTACAGAGCAGGAGATAAAATCTTTTAAAGTAAGTTACAACTGAAACCATTTTGTTTTCTCCACTTATCTCCTAAATGGCAGAGAATTAAGCAGTGCAACTTCAGAGGCATGATGTATACACACAAACTGCTTAATTAAGCTGAAGTTGTTTTGGTGACTATAGTGTCCCTTTAAGTTTAACTGACTCTCTCTTATTAAATGTATTTTAATATTAAGTATATGGGTAAAAACTATTTGTATTTACTCAGGTAAATCAAGAAAATTCAAATAAACTAAAAACGAAAAAAAAGCCACTGGACAAGGAGATTGATAATGTGTCGTCTGACCATGGGATAACATCTGATTCAGGAAATGCTTCTGCAGACCAACCAATACCAAGCGATGAAGAGATTCCGATGCTGGTTCCTATCCAGTCGCCCACTGGAAAGAAGAATAAAAAGAAGGTAATTGTCACAATCTTTGTGTAGCATTAAATAAACACTCCAAGTGCCATAACCACTATAGTGTGCTGGGTGCATGGCTTGTTCCATTAATGACTTCCTAATTATTCCTGGTTCTAAATCCTGGGTCTGCCACAATATAGAAGAAATATATATAAATATGCAAGAAATAAGACCAATCCATGCCAAGGAGCTGCCTGAAGGGTAAATCTAACATTTTGTTCAATATATTTTCGTGTTTATTGCTAAAAATGCCAAGTACTCAGCTTCAAAGTGTTGTATATTTCATAGAACCTATAGAATAAGGGAATATTATAGGGTATGACAAAAGTGATTTGAGATGTGGATCAAAGTAAAACCAAGAACTTGCTGTGAGAAGAAATAATGCTAAATCCAGGAGTCATGGTATTCCACAAATGTATATATTGACTGTGACATCAAGGGAGGTGACTTCCAAATCACAGCACTTAGTGTCAGTATAATTTGTTTCATTTAAATGTGAATTTCAAATCTGAAAGTAAAAATAGCTGAACTGGAACAATTCAGTTGTTTTTGCTTGAAGCTCGCTTATTTTGTCCTTGACTTTTTTAAATTTACTATGAATTTCCAGTAATTCTCAATTTAGTTAATAACCCTGTGTGTTTTGAGGGATGTGAAAAGTTAATCTATCTTCCAAATGTCCTTCATGATATTACAACTATTGGATTGTTTTCCTTCTCACTAACCAGTCACGTAAACTTAAACGCAAAAAAAAAGGTCCAAGTTATAACCACTTGCTTCTCCCCTCTGTTGTGCATGGATTTGTGTCTCTATACACATGTCCCCAGTGTCTTATTATTTATTTATTTATTTTTTTTCCTTCATTGAGGTTTCTGGTTGGAGATATGCATAGGTTCATTTGGTGCCGTGTGTCATTCTTGCACCTGTGCCTTGTTGTGAAGTGGTGATTTATACAGTGGCCCGGGTGGCCTTCTGTCTGACCAGAATCCTAGCCAGTTTGGGGATATAGCATTTCAGCAGATCTGTCATTTCTCCAGCTTGTTGAAACAAACTCATCATGTGTTTTGGACAGGCAAAAGGATTGGCACAAATTCTAATTTAAAATGCCTAACTGAGCGGAAAAGCAGAGTCTGGCATTTTAAGTGGTCTATCTAATTTAGGCTATAAAGCTTGTTAAACAAGGCCCTATTTTGGTGGTTTCAGATATAAGAACATAGGTTTTGTAACATACCTGTTTGAATGGAAGCCTGTGACTAGGTGCGCAGAGTGAGACAGCCACATTTGTGAGTGCATTTAAACTCTGTGTGTTAAATAGTTGCTAATACAATTTAATAGAAATTTGCAATGCTATGATGCAGCAACAGAACGAATCTGGCAACAAAACAGATATGGTTAGAGTAGCTCAGTCTAAGAATATATATATATATATATATATATATATATATATATATATATATATTTTTATTTTTCATTTTAAATACTAAAAAATGGCAGATTATGTTGTTCGTGATTAGGGGGAGAGTTACCTTATACTCTGATGGAAAATCACACCATTTTCACGTTCCGCTGGTGATTTATTTTTTTCTATTTTCCAGAAAACAAAAGTCTGCAAAACTCCTAATAAGTCTGAAGTGGAAGAAAGCCAGGAAGCTGCCGAGAGCAATGATATAACACAAGCTAGCAAAACTCCTACCAAGAAGCTTAAAGCAAAGGAGAATAACCAGGAGCCTGTAGCAAGTAACCAAACCCCATCACAAGCCAGGAAAACGCCAGCCAAAACGCCTAAAGCAAAAGAGAATAACCAGGAACCTGTAGCAAGTAACCAAACCCCGTCACAAGCCAGGAAAACGCCAGCCAAAACGCCTAAAGCAAAAGAGAATAACCAGGAACCTGTAGCAAGTAACCAAACCCCATCACAATCCAGGAAAACGCCAGCCAAAACGCCTAAAGCAAAAGAGAATAACCAGGACCATGTGGAGAGCGAAGAATTGATAACACAAGCCAGCAAAACACCAAAAGCGAAAGCAAAGAAACAAGAACCTGTAGCAAGCATTCAAACACCAATACAAGGCAGGAAAACTCCTGCCAGAACGCCTAAAGTGAAGAAACCAGAACCCGTAGAGAAGAGTCAAATCATGTCAACACCACAAAGTGTAGTAAAGAAACGCAAAGCTAGTGATGTGAAAATTGAGGACCTTGCAGAAAAAACAAACACTGAGAAAAAGTCTACTCCCTTAAAGTTGGCTAAAACAGAGGAACAGGAGCAGAACTCTCTGACCAAAGACACCATCCTTAAAAAGACACCCAAAAAGATTGCTGGGAAGTCTACTGTGAAACTAAGCAAATCTGTTAAAAAGGCTCCTCAAACCCCCAAACTAAAGCAGAAGAAGATTCTAAAAGCCCCAAAGTCTGTTTAGTGCCCTTTAGAGAGAAACTAAGATCTGGTCCGTCTCTACTTCGTGTTTCTCGTTAATCTTGCTACACTATCTGTAAACAAATGTATCAAAACATTTTTTAATGAACATTTTATTTTGTATTCTGGTAACCGTTCTCCATGGAGTGTGTAACATTATGTATTTTGCAGCGATAAAAGCCTACTGAAAGTCAAGTTTTGGAGGGTTGTTACGTACTTTTTTTCTTTTTTCTTTCTATTAAATTGTACCTGTCACAGGTAGAGATTTTGTATCTTCTGCAGTGATCTATCCTAATGTCATATTTGCTTGTTAAAGAAGTTTCCATTGTGCTAGTATTTCTGTCTGCACTACTGCCAAGTCTTGTCAGATGAGTCTTGGAGGAACCTGTATGCACAAAATTACAAAACGTTTAGTGTGGGTGTCTATAAGAGTTGGCACCAATGCTATCTTTCACTCCATTCAGAGATTTTCTCCATGATTTCAACTACTACAGGGGTTGGTGGGGGGGGAGGATGAGGAGACATGACCGCATACATCTTGTTGTTCTAGTTTTGCGTGGTGTATTTAAATACTATTTATATGTTAACCAGCAGTTAGGGAAATAGACAATCTAAACACAAATAGGAATCCATAAAGTAAAAGAAATAAAATCTCTTTTTTGTACATTATTAAATGAGTCTACTGCCCTAATTCTCAACCAGTATTATGAGCTGTACAGGCAGGGTGGATACACTTACTGTAGGGAGATCAGACTACTTCTCTGCCTGGCCCAACTCCACATGACTATAGCGGAGTGTGGGGTCAGCACCTCAAACAGATGTAGAGTATTCTTTGTTCCCTCAATTCCCTGGTTCTCAGGGAATTATTAAAGTGCTGTCCGTGTGTTAATATGGCAATGCTCACTGGACCACTATGGATAACACCTGTAGGGTTATTCACTAACGTGAGAATTTAGAGTGAATTTGAAACATCCATGTTTTGTTTTCCTCTTCTGCTTGTTTTAGTCCACACTAAAAGCAGAAAGCTTCAACACACTCTGTTTGGTGGAGAGGCAGTAGGAAATGCTGGTTAGAATTAAAACTGAAACAGACAAAGATAAGTAGGGGGGGGGGGCTGACCTCCAAGATGGCAGGATGTGCTTTCTGATGGCTCTTGCACTAGCAGACACAACAACGACAATCCTGATTACCCAAACTATACCTGCTACACGAGAAGCCCAAAAAACGAAACAGGACCACACAGGGAATAAAATGATACCTGTCCTGCACCGAAATACAAAGCATACAAAAAATATAAAAGGTGAGAGCACTCTAAAACATGCAATTTAACTTATTACCAGTATTGTCTTGAATTAAATTCTAAAAGACAGCAAGACATAAAAAGGAACATAGGGTAATATTGTCAAAATATAAATATTATCCATAAAATACTGGTAAAACTCACATGTATCTGAGTCACTTATATAAGCTGACTCAGACTAAAAGCTTGTAGTGGAGATGAAGATCTTTTAAACTGGACGTCTTTTTTAAATGAGTTCCCTCTGGATGTTGGTCTTACAATTATTCCAGGATACAAAATCAAAATAAAACTATAATTGAATGCAAGACAATACTGGTAATAAGGCTAATTGCATGTTTTAGAGTGCTCTCACCTTTTTATATTTTTTGTACATTTTAATCTTGTGTGGCTGAGTGACTCACACTAGGTGAAAGTGGCACAAAATTGTACTTTTTTTCCCCATATTTCTATTTGTTATTGTAACGAAATACAAAGCAAGTGCCTGAAACGGCCACGCAGCCTACTTCAGAGCGGAGTCTGGGAGAAGCGGCCGATCTCCCGGCACGGGACCTGCTCAAAAGGCAACACTGCCCTGCTAACCCCCCCCCCTCTGGACCTGCAGGGGGTTATCCTGGTCCTTGCAGGGGTCGGCGGCCCCCACAAGCAGATAAACCTGCAACCGACCGAGACTATGGGGGCCAGAGCAAGATGGTAGCGGGGACGTGACAGACAATAAGCACCTTCATCACACCACCTATGCACACCCTAGAGTTTTTTTTTTGACCGGCTCTTTGCCAAACTATAGACAAAACTCCGCACTAAGGGTCAGCACTTCCTCAAGGCCATAGGGGAAATGGCGGCATGGTTTCGGCCACCTAAACAGATACCCACCCAGGGCCCCCAGAGCGGCGGCCAGACAGAGAAAAAGTCGGAGACCAGAATGGCAGGAAACTGCAACATACCCCTCAGACTCCGGCACTCGCCCTCGCACACACCAGAGTGAGTCCACCAAGCCTGCCCGATCCGCTCACTATTCAAATAGATATAGGGATTTTGGGAAAAATACAGTACAAAGTGGTGCTACTATCACCTAGTGTGAATCACTCAACCACACAAATAAAGTGTACAAAAAATATAAAAGGCGGTGAGAGCACTCTAAAGCATGCAATTAAGATTATTACCAGATTGATCTTGAGTTCAACTCTAAAAACAACAAGATAAAAGAAACATAGAGTAGTATTGCCAGATTACAAATATTGTTAGTAAAATACTGGAAAAACTCACATGTTACTGAGTCACTTAAAAAGCTGACTCAGACTAAAAGCTTGTAGTGGAGATGAATATTCCTTTAGACTGGACGTCCTTTGGATAAATTTCTTCTGGATATTAATATAATAATTATTCCAGGATACAGTTCCAAAGTAAAACTAATTTATTGATTAAAACAAAAGTTTCTAAATCAAACATAAAATAAAATTGTCCATATGTAATTACCACGACGCGTTTCGGCAAAATAGCCTTTCTCAAGTGGTTTGTGTTCATCTCCATGATTGCAGCTTTTAAATTCAAAAAAATTTTTTTGGGCGCCCTTTCTCACTGTTTCCGGTTCTCTTTACTTCCGTTTTCGTCATCGGTAATCGTCCGACGTGTCCCACACGTCATGGCGTCATCTTTCGTCGTCCGGCGTGTCCCACACGTCATGACGTCATTCCGGCACCCCGGACCGGAAGTGTTGCGGGCGCCATTTTTAAAAGTCCTTTTACTACTTATTTTGCCCAGTCTTTCTCAAATGACGAGCAATTGAAGCAAAAAAAAGTTATATATATAAAATTTGGATATAAACCTTCTCCAAAAAAGGGGGAAACATATATATTATTAAACAAGAGGAAATATCATATACAATTATGCAAGTTAAGATCCAAGCAGATGTGTAATAAAATAAATATTAAAATAACAATAGTTATAATAACTTTAAATAATTAAAATGTGTTTATATATAGGAATTGACCTCAAAATCTATATTTAGACCACATGGGGATAAAGTTTGCATGTTAAAAATCCATTTCATTTCTGTTTTGTTCAGGAGATTTTCTATGTCTCCTCCCCTCCAATGTGTTTTGACCCCTTCTATACCCATAAAGTCAAAACCTTGTATGTTACCCCCATGCACTTCTAAAAAGTGTTTAGACACATTATGTAGAATATATTTTCTATTAATATTATAGATATGTTCTCTAATTCTTATTTTTAGTGGTCTAGATGTTCTACCTATATATTGATATCCACATGGACAGGTGATCATATAGATTATATTTTTAGAGTTGCAGGTTAAAAAAGATTTGATATCATACGATCTTTTATTTAAAAAAGAATCAAATTTAGTAACAGTTTTATTTTTATGTTTTCTTAAAGTGCACCCTCTACATGACCCACAATAATAAAAGCCATGGTCCCTTTTAAACATAGTTAAAAGTTGAGGATTTTTTTCTTTCTCTAAAAAACTTGAAGTTAAAACCTGTTTAAAATTCTTTGCTCCTCTAAAAATGACTTTGGGTTTAGTTCCTATATATTGTTATACATCTTGATCCTGCTCCAAAATGTGCCAGTTCTTCCTGATTATTTTTTGTAATTCATTACTGTTTGAGCTATAATTAAAAATAATAGGTATATTAAGATCATCATCCCTTAATTCTTTTGTTTTAGATTTTAAAATGTTTTCCCTAGATTCTTGTCCTACTCCTTCTTTTAATCTTTTTAATTCATCATAGTTATACCCCTTTTCCACTAGTTGGTTAATTAAAATCTGAGTTTGTTCATCATATTGTTGGGTTTCTGTACAGTTTCGCTTGATCCTTAAAAATTGTCCCTTAGGTATATTCATTAACCAGGGTTTAAAATGGCAACTTTTCAAGTTAATAAAACTATTTACATCTACTAATTTAAAAAAAGTTTTACTTTTAATTTGGTTGTCTTCCACATAAATATTCAAATCTAAAAAATTAACTTGTTGAGAACTGATTTCGTATGTTAGATGGATGTTCCAACTGTTTGAATTAAGACCATTTAAAAAACTTAAAAGGGACTCTTTTGTTCCTCTCCATATAATAAAAATATCATCTATGTATCTTTTGTACAAGACCAGATTTGCCCCAAATTCTGATTTAGAAAAAATCTCCAATTCCTCCCAATGTGCCATAAATAAATTAGCATAGCTTGGGGCAAATCTGGTCCCCATAGCCGTTCCTTTTGTTTGTAAATAAAAATTATTCTCAAACCAGAAAAAATTGTTGGAGAGGATTATTTGTATCCCTTTTATAATAAAATCTATTTGCTGTGAATTTAATTGAGTCTCTTTAGTTAAAAAATGTCTAGCAGCCTCACATCCTATTGTGTGTTCTATAATAGTATAGAGGCTACTGACATCACAAGTGGCCATAATTAGTCCATCCTCCCATTTTAAATCTCTTAAAATCTGTAAAAGTGACATAGTGTCCTTAAGATAAGAGGGACATTTTTTAACTGGATCTTGTAAAAAATAATCTAAAAACTGGGACAGAGGAGATAAAAGGGAGCCAATTCCAGAGACTATTGGTCGTCCTGGAGGATTTTTTATGTCCTTATGAATTTTTGGTAAGACATATAGGACAGGAATTCTAGGAAATTTTACATTAAGAAAATCGTATTCTTTTTTATTTAATATCTCTAATGCTAATCCATAATCTAAAAATGATTTTAATTTCTTTTTTATTTCTTCTAAGGGTTTTTTTGGTAATAGTAAATAGGTTTCTTGATCTTTTAATTGTTCAAAAATCACTTCAAGATACTTCTCTTTTTGCCATATCACTACCCCCCCCCCCTTATCGGCTGGTTTAATAACAATACTGGAATCTTTTTTCAAGTCTTGTAATGCTTTTCTTTCAAGTTTTGTTAGGTTTTTTTGTCTTTCTTTTATAGGTTTTATTTCTCTGAGCTCTTTAATACAGATTTTTTCAAATACCTTTATTGCATCTGACTTTAAATAGCTTGGAAAAAAATTCGATTTATTTTTAAAAGTGGTATGTTTAAAACTTTCATCATTATTCTCTTCTATTGTATTAAGGGACTTTTGATTAAAAAACTTTTTTAAACATAATTTGCTCGTAAATCTATTAATGTCCAAAAATGTCTCAAATTTGTCAATGTCACAACTAGGAGCAAATTTAAAACCATTATTTAAAACCTTTATATGACAATCATTTAAAATTTTATCCGAAAGGTTGAAGATTCTTATGTCCGTTGGGGTCTTTTTGCTAAATCCTCCCTCCTCCTCTTCTCCTCCTTTTTGTTTTCTATTCCCTCTTCTTGTCTTCCCCTTTTTATTGGGGTTTGTGTTTTTAAATTCCCTTTCATTCTGCTCATCGTCTGGCCTAAAAAAAGATCCTCCTCATTTAAATGTTGTAGATGACTATATCTGTTT